CAGGTATTTCTAACACCTTAGCATGTACAGTTCATAGAAAATTGAGCAAAAATACTTGGATTCTTGATATTGGAGCAACAGATCACATGCTTTGCACTCCTGAATTTTTTACATCATCTGTTACATCCACATCAATATCTGTAAACTTACCAGATGGAAATGCCACTATTGCATCTCAAATTGGCACTGTTTCTCTTACTCCATCACTCACATTATATGATGCACTATATGTTCCATCATTTCAATTCAATCTCATTTCTGTATCTAAGCTTGCTGCTTCAAATAATTGTGTTATCAAATTTCTAGCATCATCTTGTATTTTACAGGATCTAACAAACCACAAAATGATTGGTTTTGCTGACTTGGTTGATGATTGTACATTCTTCAATTGCCTGCTCATGAGCATCATTCATCATCTAATTCTGCACAATCCATATTTCCATCACCTGTAACTGTGTCACATACCACTATTCCCTCTTCTACTTTCAATGTTGATGATCCTGTAAACTCTTCTTTACCTGTAAAAGTCTCTTTACATGACAATGCTTTAAGGCACTACAGATTAGGACACCTGTCCTTTTCTAAACTGTATACATTACCTATTGCTCAAAACAATGAGAAATCAATAAATGCTTGTGATGTCTGTCATTTCTCTAGACAAAAAAGACTTTCTTTTCCTATAAGAGTTTCAAAATCTGATAATCCTTTTGACCTGATCCACTGTGATATATGGGGACCATTCTAAGTCCCTTCTCATGCTGCATATAAATATTTTCTTACAATAGTGGATGATTTTAGTAGAATCACTTGGATTTACCCAATGGTGCTTAAATCTGAAACAAAATAGCATCTCTTACATTTTTACAACATGGTTCTTACTCAATTTGATAAGAAAATCAAAGCCATCAGATCAGATAATGGCACAGAATTCATTCTTCCTCAATTTTTCTCTCAATATGGTATTTTGCATCAAAAGTCTTGTGTTGAAACACCTCAGCAAAATGCTAGAGTAGAAAGAAAATATCAGCATATCTTGCAAGTAGCTAGGGCATTCATGTTTCATGCTCATCTTCCTTTGCATTTTTGGATAGATTGTGTTCTTGCTGCTGTTCACGTAATAAACAGAGTTCCATCCATTGTTCTGAACAACAAATCTCCTTTTGAATTACTTTACAACAAACAACCATCTTATGATCATTTAAGGGTTGTGGGTTGTCTCTGTTATGCTTCTACTTTATTGGCAAAAAGGCATAAATTTGATCCTAGGGCATCCAAATGCATTTTTCTTGGATATCCACTAGGTTGTAAAGGTTATAAACTTTACAACCTGGATACCAAGAAGATATTAATTTCCAGGGATGTTGTCTTTTATGAAAGTGAATTTCCTTTCAAATCACCTTTGCCAGTAAACTCTCAGATTTCTCCTTTATTCCCTTAACCATCTACAGAATTCATCTTTGACTCTCACACTCAAAACAATCCTACCAGTACAACTTCTCCTCCAAATCATCATACCACAGCAAACAACTCACCATCTACATCTTCCCCTGTCATTCACACCAGCTCCACCTCTCAGACTTCTGTTGTGCCCTCACCAACAGCTCAAAACCAACAAATATCTCCATCTCATTCTCTTAGAAGATCTACCAGAATCTCCAAACTACCTGCATATCTCAATTTATACAAACACTCCTTACCTAATAAACATTCTTCCAATTGTGTCACCGATTCACTTTCAGACACACCTGGTACATCATCATATCCTATATCTGATTTTTTATCTACTGCACACTTATCTATGCATCATAGTTGTTTCACTGCATCAATTTCTACTTTACAAGAGCCAAAAACTTATAATCAAGCTGCTAAAGACCCTTTATGGATAAAGGCTATGTCAAAGGAATTAAAAGCTTTAGAACAAACAAATACATGGACTTTAACTGCCCTTCCAAAGGACAAGCATTGCATTGGCTGTAAGTGGGTTTTTAAAATAAAATATAAGTCAGATGGCTCTATTGAAAGGTATAAGGCTAGACTAGTAGCTAAAGGCTATACCTAAGAAGAAGGGATAAACTATTTTGACACATTCTCCCCTGTTGCCAAAATTACCACTGTTACACTCATTATTGCATTAGCATCTATCAAAAATTGGTTCATTCATCAGTTAGATGTTAATAATGCTTTCTTGCATGGTGATTTACCTGAAGAAGTATACATGAAACCTCCCCCTGGATATTGTTCTTCCTCTGATCAGAGAGTTTGTAAATTGAATAAAAGCTTATATGGATTGAAACAAGCATCTAGACAATGGTTTCATAAATTAACATCATGCCTCTTACTGTATGGATTCACTCAATCATGTGCTGATACTTCCATGTTCTATATGTCTAAGGGCAACAACTTTATTTTCTTACTAATCTATGTAGATGATGTCATTTTAACTGGCAATGACATGTCTTGCATCACTGACATTAAAAATCATCTTCATGACTGTTTTACTATTAAAGATTTGGGGCAACTGAAATACATTCTAGGCCTTGAATTTGCTCATTCTGAAAATGGAATCCATATGTGCCAAAGAAAGTATGCACTTGACATACTTACTGACACTGGAATGTTGGGATGTAAGCCTGCTCATACTCCCATGAATGCTACTTCGAAATTGATTAAATGTACTAACCCTACTGATCTTTTACCTGACCCTTCTGAATATAGAAGATTAGTAGGAAGACTTTTGTATTTGACTATTAGCAGGCCTGACATTGCTTATTCAGTCCAAGCTCTAAGCCAGCACATGTCTGGTCCAACTCAGCAGCATCTCAGCTCTGCACACAGAGTACTCAGGTACATTAAGGGTACCCTTGGTAAAGGTATCCTTTTCCACAGAAATTCTTCTTTACATATTAATGCATTTTCAGACAGTGATTAGGCTTCTTGTTTGGACACAAGAAAGAGCATCACTGCTTATTTAGTTTTTATTGGAAACTCCCTTGTCTCTTGGAAGTCCAAGAAACAACCCACTATTAGTAGGTCTTCAGCTGAAGCTGAATATAGAGCTTTAGCTGCTACTAGTTGTGAAATTCAATGGATAATTAATATATGTAAAGAATTGGGTATTACTTTTGCTTCTCCTGCCTCAGTTTTTACAGATAGCAAGTCAGCTCAAGCAATGGCAACAAATCCCATTCTGCATGAAAGGACCAAGCACATTGAATTGGACTGTCACTTGATAAGAGAGAAAATTGCTAATGGTGTATTGCAGCTCCAACACATCAACACCAAGGAGCAACCTGCAGATTTTCTCACTAAACCCCTACCTGGCCCTTTGTTCCATCATCTCCTCTCCAAGTTGAGCATGCCTAATATCCATGCTCCTCTTGCGGGGGGGTAATAGAGTATATAATTTTCTTTTATATTCAGTTTAACACTTTTGTAATAAGCTGTATAAAGTGTGTTTTACTTTTTCTAGTTGGTTTCCTATTAGCACTTTTAGTATTAATAAGTATAGTATAAATAAGGGTTTTCCCCTCATTCTGCAAACACTTTTCATTCCCGTAACCCTAATACATATGCGCAGTTTTTCTTCTTCATTGTTCATCAATTATTTCTTATGTTCATATCTCCATCTGAAGATCTACAGTTCTGATAATAATTAATATTTGTGTTCAATAGTGTTATTTAAAAAGGTCGGTCATTTCCATTAGGGAGACCGTATGTACTTGCATAGTCATTCTCAGGAAATGAAAAAAATGGGAAAAACATTGTAAAGCTTCTAATGTTGTACCCCTAAAATCTCCACTGGACGATTCAACCTGTTGTAACTTCATAAAATGTTACAGAAAACGTGTGAATTTGCCGATCAATTATAGACTTTTTTCAAAACTCTTGAACGTTGTGATTGCAATATCACCGTTACTTTGGAGAATCGGGAAAAATGTAAATATCTTATATAAGTTTTAAGAACATTTCAAATTACTTGTTGACGTGCGAAATTTGGGTCAACCAATGGGAAAATCTCCCTAAGTAAAAATGGAATTTTATTTACTGAATGAGGTCGGACATGTGTGATTGCCACAATGAATCATCGCCGCGAGCACCAATGTATTCTAACGCGGAATATCTTCTTCAAATCGACATTATATATAAATTCTAATAATCTATAATAATAAAAAAAAAAATTAAAACACCAAACTATCTTCTTGAAATCGACATTATATATAAATTCTAATAATCTATAATAATAATATAAAAAAAAATAAAACACCAAACAATTATTTATATTTGTATATTTTCATGTAACTTCTCATGCTGATGTAATCATTTTTTATTTTTTTTTCTTACTACAAAAATGTTCACCCATACTTTATATCCACATTAAAAAGTACTCACTAGTAAGTGTCAATATGTCATAATCTTGCAATAAGAAACTCTAAGGTATAAAGTATATCAATCTCATATTACATCGGTGTGTGGTGGTCGTATTAACTCATATCCTTGGTAGAACTAGATTATTTTTACATTTACAAATCATCGCCAATAATACATTGGCCTTGTTTGGTAATCAGTTTTTAGTTGTTGGTTGTTAAGTGATTGCATTAGATATTTTGACCAACGGATTGTGTTAGTTGTTTTAACCAACTGATCGTGTTAGCTGTTTGTAAAAAAATATTGATAAAATTATCTAGTTTAATTACCTGTTAAAATGTAAAATTACTTATAAAGACATCAACATACTTTGTTATTCTAATTTATGTTGCACTTATAATTTTTTATGAAATAAAAATAATTAATATTTTAAATATTTATTAAAGTGATTTAAATATATTAAAAATTTAGATAACAATAAAATAAAAATATTTCATAATCGAGTAAAGAAGTTCACGTCATATAAACAAAACCAATAACAAGTCATACTAATTAAAATATAAATATGAGTCAATTGCATTATCTGCTACTATAATTAAAATACAAAAATAAGAGAAGAAAAAAATACTAATGCTCTAAGAACGATGTCTGGATGCCATCAAACTTGAAGCTATATCATTACGAACGTTTGCCATCTCTCGAGTCCTCATTTCCCCATCACCTTGTGCAGAATTATTTTCAACGTCTTGAAACACATCAGGAGGTATGAATTCAGGATTGGCATCAATAATTTTAAAGCCCGGATCACCAATCGTGTTTCTTCTAATATAATTGTGAAGTGCAAAACATGAACAAATGATTCTATTTTGATCTGTTAATGAATATCCTGGCATTTTATGCAATATCTTCCATCGAGCCTTAAGAACACCAAATGCCCTTTCAATGCAACTTCTTAAAGATGAATGAGCCCGGTTAAAAATTTCTTGAGATCCCTTCGGGTTTGAACAAAACTCAGACTGATGATATCTTGTGTTGGTGTAAGGCGTTAAATAACCTTCTCTTTCCGGGTAGTCTTTGTCTACCAAGTAATATTTACCTAAACGTACACAAGTTATACTAAAATTAAATTATACCGAAGACGTTTGTGTGTGTGTGCGTGAAACAATGCATATGCATATAAATGATAATTACAAGATACCTGATGGAGGTTTCGGAAAATTGAGATTTGGATCATTGATCGTATCAAGGAAAATATGAGAATCATGTGCTGATCCCTCCCATCCTGTTAAAACATATGTGAACAACAAATCAAAATCACACACTGCTAAAACATTTGTAGTCGGTATCCCTTTGCTTCCTCTGTAACGAATTTGATCCTCTTCAGGTACGGTTATCGCAATATGTGTACCATCAATAGCTCCAATACAATCCTAATATGACACAACAAAATTTACATTATCATCCTCTTCGATCGTATTAAAAAAAAAAAAAGTTGAGAAAATAAAAAAAATGTTACCTTAAAATGTGGCATATATCTCTCATCACTGGAAATACATGTAGGAATATCCTTAAATTCGGGATCTTTTGGTACAAGTATATCTCTTGCAAAGCTATCCATAGAATCTAAAACTTGTTTGAAAATTCTACTCACGGTTTCACCAGAATGTTGAAAGCGCTCTTGAGCATCTCTATTAGAAGCACCCTTACTAAGTACATATACAAATAACCCCACTTTCTCTAATACTGACATCCTACTTGATGGTCTTAAACCGTATATATGCTCTAAATCTAAACATAATTGGGTAAATGTGTTTTGGTTCATTCTAAGGGCATTAAAGCATCGTTTTTCATGTCCGCTCAATAACTCGTTTATCCATCTTTCTCCTGTTAAAAATGATGTCATGCATGGTTCCTTATGTATATGATTCAAAAAATACCAATATGCATAACCTGTAGCACAAGCCATCACATCCCAAAAATTATCTTCTTCTTTCAAGTACTCAAGGCACTGGAGATATTGTTGTTCATGCAAAAGAAGTTGTTTAATTTTGATGTCATTACTTTCCATGCCTGCAAAAATTAGAATAAAAAAATTATATCAATTTTAGAAAAGCAACTACATAGATTAACAAAGTTAATTGTACCAAATATAAATACCAAAACAAAACAATCAATAAATAATAAACATCCAACATTATCATACAACTCAAAAGCAATGTCCGGGAAATGAAAAGAACACATCATTCAAGATCATACAATCATCAAAAAGGAAAGATAAAACTTAACTATCTGTTTTTTATGCTCCTTATACATGCACTTATGATAAAACTTAGTAATTTTCTAATATATCACACGATTTTTCAAGATTATTATCATTCGTCATTTATCAATTGTTTTAAGAAAATATTAAATCAAGGACATGCCATTAACCATGATCCAATAGCAACACTTGCACATTTTCCATTGGTTCATATCACTACATGTTTAAAGTAAAATATGTTTACAAATCCATTTTTAACTATGCAAATGTGAACAGAAACGTTTGAAGTTAAAAATATGTTTAACATATCCATTTTTTACCGTGCAAATGTGAAACAGGATTATGATACAATAATTTTCAATTGCATATTACACAGACGAACGAAAATCTGATAAAGCAAATCCGCAATCTATATTTTCTTGCCATCCATGAAGAAGGAGATAAACAATGTATAACAAAATAAAACTTATGCATATCAAGCATGAATAGCTGGGAAACAAACGGTGATTATATTTTCCTCCACACTTCTTCACCAAACTAAATACTCCGAAAATAGCTATAAGATTAAATTATTTTTACCCAAAATACTTCCATTAACATTGCTCCAGTAACTTCCCCAATCCATTTTCACTCGGCACCCACATTGAAAAATCCGAAAAACTCGAACCAGATTTTGCTATTTGGACTCTCTGTCACATTTACACTCACATTATTTTCATTTTTTGTCTTTCTATTTAGACTAAAAGATTCATTTTCAAACTGAACACTCACATTATTGTCCTTAGTCCCCAAGATTTTATATTCCAACATCAAAATGTAACATAAATTGGCGTAGAAAAGAGGGAAATAACGAATCATCAAATTCTTGTTCCCAAATCAATCAACAATCTGTAAACCCTAAATTTAAGATTTGGAACTATCAGTTACTTTGTTTACTCTCTAATCCCAAACATCATATTCCTTTCCAATTGATGATGAACATAAATAGAGAGAGCGTGTGGGTGTGTGTGTGAGAGAGAGAGAGAGAGTGCGAGAGAGTACCTCTGTGTGAAGGGAATTCGGTCTCGACAAGAGAGTGGGATGCGCCAGCAGAAGAGTAGGATGTGCTTGCGGAGGAGGAGGCGGCGGTCGGCGTCGGCGGTCGGTGAAGAGCAACCGGAAGGGGTACAGCGGAAGAGATGGTTTTTTTGTTCGACCAAAATTGTGAAATTGTTTTGGAAATGGAAAGAAAAATGGAAGGCAAGAGAACCAAAGTGAGCATTTAACAATTTTTGTTTTTTCCTTTTAATTCTATTGGTTTTGCTATAAAACCAACAGTTGGGTTCATAGTGGAGCCAACCTTTTATATACATTAAGTAAATTCACTATAGAGTCAACTGTTGGCTTCATAGCAAAACCGTTAATTCTAATAAGCTAAATTCAAACACTGCAAAAAGCTAAATTGCATAAGAAATCCCAATCTTTTGTTTAATTACAATCTATTTTTTCAACTTTGCAAAATAATATTAACCCTTTATTAAGTGTTGCAATTTTGTTTCGAAAGCAGTTTCCGGCCAATACACGCTGACATGGTCAATCGAAAAATTGACGTGCCACTAGAATTTTGGGGACATATTTTATACTCAATGATAAAATAATGGTAACATTGACGTAGCATTCAACGTGACATAGAGTCTTACATGTAAAATGATATGTCAATGAGTATAAAATATTAATTGCCA